TTTTTTTCTTTTCTTGAGCTGGAGTCTCACTCTGTCGCCCAGGCAGGAGTACAGTGGAATGCTCCTGAACACCGCAGCCTTGACCTGCTGGGCTCAGGTGATACTTCTGCCTCAGCCTTCCAAGTGACTGGAACTACAGATGCACGCTGCCAGGCCTGGCTAATTTTTTGTGATTTATTGTAGAGGCAAGGTCTCACCAAGTTGCCCAGGCTGGTCTCGAACCTCCAGGCTCAGGCAGTCCTCTCGTCTTGGCCTCCCAAAGTGCTGGGATTACAGGCTAAGCCACCACGCCCGGCTACCAAGTGCCTTCTATGGAAGAGTCCTGATTGGGTGTGGGGAAGGGGGAGAGGTGTGCACTTTGCATAGATTTGAGGTTCAAAGTAGGAGATTTTTTGGTAAGATGTGCTTTAAAATAAGATTCACGACTGCTTACAAAGCAGTGGGCTTAATTTCTTTTGTCCTGCTTATGGCAATTCATTTGTCTCCTAATAAGTTTAAACACGAGAAACTAACACCACTATTCTAAATGTCGAAGCTACCAGGGGAAAACTGACCAGGCAGCACGTTTAGTGTAGATCAGAATAGGATTCGGTGTGAAGCTGAATTATTTCTTCTCTTGGTCTTCTCTCTTTTCTTCCTTTAATAAACCCAACTAAAGTAAACATTTTCATGATCTCTCTCACTCTACGTGAGGGGTTATTTTGGCTGAATTCCCTCTGAGAAGGGTTAGATGGGATGGGTGAAGAAATATTGCTGTTGATTTTCTGTTTTTGAGCCTCCCGGCAGGGTCGCCTTAAACTCCTGCTCTCCCTGCTTAGGGGGAAAGTGCTTGATGGCAGCTTCTGCCTAAGGGCAATGACAGTGAAATGCCCTCCAGAGAGCTGGTGAGCCTGGGCTGCGACTCCCCTGTGTGTGTGTTTGTGCCCTCAGGAATGTGTGGATGCAGCAAATGACAACACTGAGCGCTCTGTCCCTGGCCGAGCCTCGTACCCTCCCTCTCCTGGTGCTGGCTCTTTTCCAAGCTTGAATGATGACACTGGTTGAAGCTTCATTATCTACAAGGGGGAGGTGAGGAGACAGGTTAGAGGGAGAAAAACAGGCCTTTCCCATAGGCCTCATTCTCGCAAGTTTTGAGCTTTCATGTCAGTAGATCTCATGGAGTTTTACTTTTGGTCAGTTTGGACATTTGGTTAAAAATCGCAGTACTAGCCAGGTTCAGTGGCTCAGCCTGTAATCCCGCACCTTTGGGAGGCTGAGGTGAGTGGGTGGCCTGAGCCTGCGGGTTTGAGACCCGCCTGGGCAGGTAAGACCTCATCTCTACAATAAATCAAAAAATCAGCTGGGCGTGGTAATGCGCGCCTGTAGTTCCGGCTACTCGGAAGGCTGAGGCAGAAGGATCGCTGGAACCCAGCAGGTGGAGGCTGTGGTGGCCAGGAGCAGCCACTGCACTCCAGTGTGGGCGACAGAATGAGACTCCAACGCAAAAAAAATCGCAGCACTAAGGCCCACGTACTTAGCGACAATACAATTTCTGCTTTTTTTTTTGGAGTTGGAGTCTCACTCTGTTACCCAAGCTGGATTGCAGTGCCACCTTCATGGTCACTGCAGCCTTGACCTGCTGGGCTTAGGTGATACTTCTGCCTCAGCCTTCCGAGTAGCTGGAACAACAGGTGTGCTCCACCACGCCCAGCTAATTTTTTGATTTATCGTAGAGACAAGGTCTCACCAAATTTCCCAGGTTGGTCTTGGATCCCTGGGCTCAGGCAATCCTCTAGCCTTGGCCTCCCAAAGTGCTGGGATTACAGGCATGAGCCACCATGCCCAGCCCGGTTTCTACTTTTGAAAAAAAATTTCATTGGGTTGTCAACCACCATAGAATTGTTTCTGAGTTGGAAAGAACCCCAGGGATAATTCTAATTATAATAACTGAATGACCGGAGAGCCTATGCACACGGCTAGTGAATGACAGAGCAGTGCCCGGTATTCGGGTGACCCAAGCCTGTCAGGGCTGTGCCCTGCACGTTGCATCACTCCTGGTGTCATTAGAATAATTTCAATTTATGTTGCATCAGATTGGGCTGAAGTGATCTGTGTTCAAATTCTGGTTTTCTCACACCTGAGTGTATACTCAAGAGAAATGATCACACAAAATTTATACACAAATATTCATAGCTGGCATTATTCATAATGACTAAAAAATGGAAACAAACCAAATGTCTATCAGCTGATGAATAAATAACAAGATGTGGTACGTCCACACAATGCCATATTATCCAGCCACAAGAAGAAATGAAGCACTGATACCTGCTACAACATGAATGAACCTTAAAGACATGATGCTAGCTAAAGGAAGCTAAACACAAAGGCTGTATGTTGTAGGATTCCATTTTTTTTTTTTTTTTTTTTGAGTTGGAGTCTCACTCTGTCGCCCAGACTGGAGTACAGTGGCCGCTCCCGGCCACCGCAGCCTCGACCCGCTGGGCTCCGGCAACCCTTCCACCTCAGCCTTCCGAGGAGCCGGAATTACAGGCGTGCGCTACCACGCCCGGCTGATTTTTTGATTTATTGTAGAGATGAGGTCTCGCTGCCCAGGCGGGTTTCGAACCCGCAGGCTCAGGCAATCCACTCACCTCAGCCTCCCAAAGGCGCGGGATTACAGGCTGAGCCACCGAGCCCAGCTAGAATTCCATTTTTATGAACAGGCAAATTCATGAAGACAAAACGTAGTTTGGTGGTTTCCATGGCCTGGGGGAAGGGAGGATGGGGAGTGACTGGTAATAGGTATAGAGTTTATGGGGGGGGATAAAAATGTTCTGGAATTAGATTGTTGTGATGGTTGCGCAGCTAAAAGTCACTGAATTGTACACTTTTCTTTAAGAGTGTCTTTTATGGTATGTGAGTTATATCTCATTAAAGCTGTTATTAAAAAAACCCTGGTCCCCCCTACCTCTTACTGTGGGTGACTTTAGGCAATGAATCCAAACTCAAGTCATCTCAGCTGTGAAATGGGAATAATAACATACACCTCACAGGGTCATCTTGATACATGAGATCATGAACTTGAAAATGCTTCTAAACTGCAAACCTCACATATTTTGGGGCTGTCAATGGGTTATAAGTTCATTATATACTGGGTTTTCTATCTTCTCCTCTTGTATTTTCCACAAGGTCTGGCTACATAGTCACTTCAATAAAGGTCTATTGAATTGATTAAAAGTATTACAGGTTTTTTTTTTCAGTTGTGGTACAAAAGCACATAACATGAGATCTACTTCTTTAACAAGTTTTTAAGTCTACAAAACAGTAGTATTAACTGTATGCACATTGTTGTACGGCAGATCTCGAGAACGTTCTCATCTTACATAACTGAAATTCTATACTCATTGAACAGTAACTTCTCCTTTCTTCTTTCCCCCAGCTCCTGGCAACCACTGTTTTACATTTTGCCCTGTGAGACTGACTACTTGAGACATTTTGTACAAGTGGAGTCACGCACTGCTTGTCCTTCTGTGACTGGCTTATTTCATTTAGCAAAAAGTGCTCAGGGTTCATCTACATTGTAACATGTGTCAGGATTGTATTCCTTTTTAAGACTGAATAATATTCCATTGTATGTATGTACCACGTTTTCTTAATCCATTCATCCATCAGTGAACATTTAAGTTGTTTCTGTCTGTTGGCTATTGTGAATAATGGTACATTGAATATGAGCATGAAAATATCACTTTGAGATGTTGTTTATAATGTTTTTATGTTATTATTTTTAGAATTTTATTTTAAAGATGTGGGGAACAATTCAGGGTTAGGTATACAAATGCTGATTAGGTAGGTACCCTTGTTGATGAGGTGTGCCCCTCCCTTCCCTAACAGTTTCCATCAACTGCCAATCCTACCCTCTCACTACTGCCAGTTTCCCACAACTGCCAATCCCTTTCTTATAGTATTATGATAATTGCTCAAGGTCTGCTTATGAGTGAGAACGTATGGTACTCTGTTTTTCATTTCTGTGATAGATCACTGAGTATGATAAGACTCAAAATCCATCTGAGTTGGTGCAGAGTCCATATGTTTGTCCTTCTTTATGGCTGCATAATATTCCATTGTGTATCTGTACCACATTTTTTTAATCCAGTTCAGCTTTGATGGGCAGCATGGTTGGTTGCATGTTTTTGCTATTGTGAATAGAGCTGCAACAAACATACACGTGCAGGTACATTTGGGTAGAATGACTTCTTGTATTTGAGTGCTCTGATGTTGGGTTTCTTTCTCTCTCTCTCTCTATTTATTTATTGAGTTGGAGTCTCATTCTGTCACCCAGACTGGAGTGCAGTGGCACACTCATGGCCACTGTAGCCTTGACATGCTGGGCTCTGGCGATTCTTCGGCCTCGGCCTTCCAAGTATCTGGAACTACAGCTTCGCGTTACCACACCTGGTTAATTTTTAATTTATTGTAGAGGTGAGGTCTCGCCAAGTTGCTGGGATGGTCTCGAACCCACAGGCTCAGGCAGTCATCTTGCCTCGGCCTCCCAAAGTGCTGAGATTACAGGCTGAGGCACCGAGCCTGGCCAATATATATTTATAATTGTTATGCCTTCCTGGTGAATTGATCCTTTTATCAATATATAGTGTTCTCTTTTGTCTCTTGAGACAGTTTTTGATATAAAGTTTATTTGTCTGATGTCAGTGTGGCCACCCTGTTCTCTTTTGGTTTCCATTTGCACAGAATATCTTTCTCCATTTTTTCCCTTTCAGTCCATGTGCCACTTAAATCTAAAGCGAGTCTCTTGTAGACAGCATATAACTGGATCTTGTTTTTTTTCCACTCAGCTATCAAAAGAGTTACCATTTTAATAATTTCTTTGAACTTGGTTAATCTGTAAACCTAAATGCTTTTATATCCAATCATTTCTCAGGACTAAAGACCTCTAGTAACTTTCTCCCTTCATTTTATATTCCTGTTTCTCTCTCTCTCTCTTTTTTTTTTTTTTTTAACAGAGACAACATATTTGATTTGTTGACAAGACAACAATCTGATCCCAGAGATGTGCTCCACGAACCCAGGCAACTGGGTCACCTTTGATGATGATCCCGCTTTTCAAACTTCTCAAAAGTCAAAGAATTTCCCTCCAGAGAATCAAGGTGTCTGTAGACCAAATGGACTGAAGCTGAACCTTCCTGGCCTCAAGGAACTTCCCAGTGGTTCCTCCTCCATCAGCAATACCCCTCTCTCCTCCCCCATCGTAGATTTTTACTTCAGTCCAGGACCTCCAAGCAACTCTCCTCTTTCTACACCTACCAAAGACTTCCCGGGCTTTCCTGGCATTCCTAAAGCAGGAACTCATGTACTTTATCCTATTCCAGAATCATCTTCAGACAGCCCACTCACCACACCAGGAGCAGTTTCCTCCATATCACCTACTAAACCAACCTGCTTATCTCATGCACTCTTACCCAGTGGCCACTCATGCACACACCTGGCTCCCAAAGCAGATCTTCCAGATGAAAGTAGCCCTTGCCAGCCTGAAGGCCAAGGGGCCCAAAGTGGGGATGCTCCCCAGTTTCAGTATTTTCAGGAGGCCTGTGCTTTTTCAAGTCCATTTTGGAAAGATGAAGGCAGTGCCTCCCAGTTGACCTGTGAACCACCAGGAAGCAAAAAGATATTCTCATCAAGAGACAAGGAGGTACCTATTGATCAAAAAAGCCTAAATACGTGCTCCCTCAACTATATCTGTGAGAAGCTTGAACATCTCCAGTCAGCTGAGAACCGAGAGTCACTTAGAGATTTGTCCATGCAATGTCTGGGTGCTGAAGACGCTGCCTTTTCCTTTGTCCCCCACACACTTTTCAGGAGTCGGCCAAAAGCCGGATGGTCTTTCATGCTGAGAATTCCTGAGAAGAAGAACATGATGTCCTCCCGGCAGTGGGGACCAATTTTTCTGAGAATTTTGCCTGGAGGAATTTTGCAAATGTATTATGAGCAGGGGTTAGAGAAGCCATTTAAAGAGTTACAGCTTGATCCACACTGTAGGCTTTCTGAACCCAAAGTTGAGAACTTTAGTGTGGCAGGAAAAATCCATACTGTGAAGATCGAACATGTGTCTTACACAGAGAAAAGGAAATACCATCCCAAGACAGAAGTAGTTCATGAACCAGACATAGAGCAGATGCTGAAGTTGGGGTCCACAGAGTACCACGACTTTCTTGACTTTCTGACGACGGTGGAGGAGGAGTTGACGAAGCTGCCGGCTGTTTCAAAACCCAAAAAGAACTACGAGGAGCAAGAGATTTCCCTGGAGATTCTGGACCACTTTTGGGGTAAAGTCACAAAGGAAGAAGGGAAACTGGTCGAAAGTGCTGTGATCACTCAAATCTATTACCTCTGTTTTGTGAATGGGAATCTGGAGTGCTTTTTAACCTTGAATGACCTTAAGCTGCAGAAGCGAGATGAATGCTATTTTGAAAAAGATCCAGAAAAGAAGGGGATTGACATTCTCGACTACCATTTTCATAAGTGTGTGAAAGTACAAGAGTTTGAGCAGTCAAGAATCATTAAGTTTTTACCTCTGGACGCCTGCCGGTTTGAGCTGATGCGTTTTAAGACTTTGTATAGTGGGGACAGTCTTCCCTTTTCTGTAAAGTCTGTCGTGGTTGTCCAAGGAGCATATGTGGAACTTCAGGCCTTTGTCAACATGGCCCCGGTTACCCAGAGGCCATCCCCCACTGGTTCCTTAAGGTCCTGTGACAATATAATGGTACACTTTCCTGTCCCATCGCAGTGGGTCAAAGCCGTCTGGACCATGAACGTTCAGAGGCAGAAGTCCCTGAAAGCCAAGATGAACCGCCGAGCATGTCTGGGGAATTTACAAGAACCTGAATCCGAACCTGTCATTCATGTCACTGTGGGGTCGGCAAAATATGAGAGTGCCTACCGGGCGGTGGTATGGAAGATAGACCGGCTTCCAGATAAAAATTCAAGTAAATATTCAACACCCCAATTGATTTGCATGGGACATGGTTGACATATTTTTGCCTTCCTCCTTGGGTTCAAACCAGGCTGACACAGTTGGTGACTTGTCCGCAGAGGCTACACTTACATAGAGGGGGCCGGGAAAACGACACGTTTAGCTTAACAGCTGGTTTATTTGTTTCCTCTTGCACCTATTTCTACCAGATGAGTTTAAATATTTACTTATTTTTTTTTTTTTTTGAGTTGTAGTCTCACTCTGTCACCCAGACTGGAGTGCAGTGGCTGCTCCCGGCCACCGCAGCCTTGACCTGCTGGGCTCTGGCGATCCTTCCACCTCAGCCTTCCAAGTAGCTGGAACTACAGGCGCGCACTACCACGCCCGGCTCATTTTTTAAATTTATTGTAGAGATGAGGTCTCACCAAGTTGCCCAGGTGGGTCTCGAACCCGTGGACTCAGGCAATCCACTCACCTCACCCTCCCAAAGTGCTGGGATTACAGGCTGAGCCACCGAGCCCGGCTTATTTACATTTTTAAAAAATCATGCTAGGCTAGGGATTTTTTGTGGATGGCGGCCCTGAGGGAATGTGTAGACATCCGTGGTTTGGGCTTTTTGAGATTAACCTGTCAATCTCAAATGTTAAAAATGTTTCTGACATAGCCAGACTTCCCTAATTAACCTTTAAAGATCTGTCATCCACAAGTAAACCTGAAGTTTTTTGTATTCTCAGCCAGTAACGCTTTCTCCTCAGATTTTGCTCTCTGCTCTTTGAAGTAAGACTGCCTTTTGCTTTACCCAAACTGAGTTTTTTGACTGAATTTATCCTTTTTTTTTTGAGTTGGAGTCTCACTCTGTCACCCAGACTGGGGTGCAGTGGCACGATTTAGGCTCACTGCAGCCTCAAAGTCCCGGGCTCAAGCATCTTCCTGTCTCAGCCTTCTGAGTAACTGGGACTACAGGTGCATGCCACCTTGCCCAACTAATTTTTTGATTTGAAGACATGGTTGCCCAAGCTGGCCTCGAGAACTCATGGGCTCAAGCAATCCTCCCGCCTTGGCCTCCCAAAGTGCTGGGATTACAGGCGTGAGCCACCGTGCCTGATGTGAATGTACCCATTTGACCATCTCTACTGGTTGTGTAGAATTAGGTAGACACAACCTAAGTGTTTGTAATAAAATCTGCAATGAAAACAACCTAGAAGTTCAGAACTTGAAAAGACAGCCCTAGTACCACATTTATTTCAGAGTAGTAAGTGAGTAGGGGACATAATATAATAAAAAGCAAAAATATTAGATCTAATTCAAATCTAATTTGAAATTAGAGTTGATCTCTGTTTTAGTTGAGCTTTTTTCTAGCAGAGCACTGGCATATGGAGGTAAGTTGGGGACGGTTTTGGGGAATTCTAGATGATGCATATATTCATTCATTTATTCAACTAGACTTTACTGAGCACTTACTGTGTACCAAGTGTCACATTAAGTGCTGGGGATAAAGATGAATAAGATGTGATCTCTGGTTCCTTTAGGACTAGAACTTTCCTTCGGCCCCTCCAGGCTGTGGACTCCCCAGGAGGCATTTTTTGCTTGGGATGGCTCCAAGCAGTGTTGGACCGCACCGTGGAGGCCTTGGGACCACCTGGTCTATGACTTGCAATTGTCAACTGATTGGAGCTTGAGCTTCAGACAGGATCCAGCAGGTGACAAACAGGGCTGGAGGGCCGAGGAACCATAGGCCCCTGTGCTGAATGAAGGGAAGGCCTGGCACGGTCATCTTCTCTGACACTCAGACTCTTCTTCAGGAATTCTGAGTTGCACCACCACAGCATTCTCATGACTTGCATTAGTTACATTCTGTTCCTCCAAATAGCAAGGATACCTCAGCCTCAGGGCAGGGCCAGGTGGTGGTGGGTAGAATGGTCCTAATGGAAGGCCTCTAGTGAAACCTTTGGTCAACTCCGCTGAGGTGAAAAGGTCTGTGTCTTCCATGACATAATCCATGAGATAATGTTTCCTGCCTTCTTGTATAACTTGGCTGGAGAGGCAAGTTAAACCATTTGCAGATGACTTTCCTGCCAAGGAAACCCGTTTTGAGGTCTTGAGTTCAAAGTTCCAAGTGATCTAAAAGTTATTTGTGCCACTTTTAGGTGCGTGGGGTTAAACACAATCAGAATATTGGCTTTTATTTTGCTTAACAAAAAGAAAAAGAAAGGCAGACAGAAAGACAGGCAGGCTGGAATGCCAGCTGGAACCTCCTGGATCCAGAGACCTCCCTGGAGGCCTGGGTGATAAACAGACTCTGGTTTTCCATTTGTCCTGGAGACTATCACTAGGACCAGAGCAAAAGCTCAAGTGCAGGTTTTGCATAGATTCAAAGTGGTCATTACTGCTCTGAGAAGGGAGCAAAAGGGGCCCAGCCAGCTGGTGTGTCCAGGTCGGGTCAGAGGATAGGCCCCCCCCCTCCCGGGTCTCATTCATGCTTGGAGCATAGCAGCAGGAGGCCTGGAAGGAACCAGGCACTGGGCTAGACTTGGCCAGGTTAAGCACGCTTACTTTTCATGCTTACTTTTCCACACTAATCATCCTTCCTAATTTTGGAAATGAAGCAATGTAAAAAGCTTCTTGTGAAAATGACCTGTGTAGCCGGGTGTGGTAGTGCGTGTCTATAGTTCCACCTATTTGTAAGCCTGAGGCGGAAGGATCACTGGAGCCCAGTAGGTCGACGCTGGGGTGGCCGTGAGTGTGCCGCTCCTTTCTAGTCTGGGCGACAGAGCGAGACTCCAACCCAAAAAAAAAAAAAAAAAAAAAAGAAAATGATCTTGTGTATAACACTGCATTTTCCCAGAGTTAATGGCATAGTTAACTGATTCAACCAACAAACATTTATTGAGAAGATGGCTTGCCCATTTACTCCACAAACATCTACTGAATGTCCTCTAGGTAGAGGCTGTGTGCTGAGTACTTAGGAGATACAGACACAGACATGATCCCTCCTCTACTAGAAATGTAACAGTCTAGTAGGTGGGCCAGACCCAGGAGCAGCTGTGTGAATGCCTGAGTAACAGTGCTGTGTTCCAGTTTGTACAGACACACACTAAGGATCCCACAGGGAGGGGGGATCAACTGCCTGGGTCCTTGGGAGGGCTTTGCTGCAAGGCTGGTGATGAAGCATGGCCTGAAACAAACAAGAGAATTCCATCAAGGACAGAAGCAGAACCACGAGCGGGTAGGTGGGAGATCTCACCCAAGTTTTGGGAAGGAGGGAGTGGTGAGAGGAGAACCCAGAACGAGCAGACACTGTGAGCCCTGATGCGGGGTGTGGGTTTTGTCCGTCAACAGGGCCCGGGGTGTTTTCAGGCATGACTGTGTCAGAATTGTATCTTGTTTCAGAAAGGCAGGTGTGGAGTGCAGAGGAGAGGTTTAAAAGTAGATTATAGATACAGGGATGCTGGGAGATGGGGAGAGGTGTTAAGTACGGGCAGTGGGTGTGAGAGGTGAGGGGTGGGTGAAGAATTTCAGAGGAGGAACCGCCAAGAGATGACAGACTATGGGCAAGAGGGAAAGGCGGGGTGAGGTCAGGGGCTCTGGCTTTGGTGAGAGGCCCGTGATGGTGCCGTTAGCTGAGATAACTTGGGATTGTCTCATTACCCATTCTTTTAAAATGTTTCTCAGCCCTGGCTGGATGTTATTTCTTTTCTCCCCTCCCTCCCTCTCTCTCTTCCTTCCTTTTTTTTTTTTTTTCAGAGATGGGGGTCTTGCTATGTTG